GGCAGCTAATTCTGAAGCACAGTGAGGGCGAAATTAGAAGGAGGCTTAAGAACAGGACAGGAAGCAGGGAGACTATTCCAGTGTCCAGGCAAGAACACTGGCAGCCCTTCTCCAAGGCAGAGACAGTGAGGACACAGAGACTTGAATGGATTCACACATTGGCGTCGACGGGAACAGACGTCCAGATGCACCAGAGATGGGGCAGAAAACAAGTCCAGATGAATTTGGGTTTGGGTGGGGATGTTGAGAAATCTGGGTGATTGGTGATGACACAAGGGTACAGATAAAGTGTAAGAAGACCGTTTCTCGAGAGTAGCTGGCCAAAGAAGAAAGGAGTGAGCCCAGGATGAAAAATGATCTGAAGATTCTAGACCCATGGCTCACTCGGGGACATCCAGACAAACAGAAGCTGGGAAGCCTGCCTGTTTACACCGCTCTTCAAAATAATACCAAAACAGTGCCTGCATTTAGAAGGTAGACTTCACCTCTTTTAAAATGTGGATATCCCTGAGGGTTGAGGGACACTGAGCACACCTTGATCTTCATTAGTTTTGTTCGATTCCCTTCCATCTAATGGAGCATATGAGAACCTCAGATCACAGAGCTTGGTGGGGCAACTGGCCTAGGAAGGTCACATGGTGGGGACTTTGTGTTTACCACCGGATGAGGATAGGCATGAAGGAAGAGGAGAGGCACGATGTTAATCCCTTGTGGAAGACATTAATCTATGGACTTTTTATAGTTAAAGACGCGACGACTCAAGAGGCACAAGAGGTAGTTTTCTCACTTTAAAAGAAAAGGGTTTTACTCAGTTCTAGAGATCCCACGAGAAGCAGAGCATCCCATCAAAAGATGGGTTCCGAGGGGAAAATCAAGTCCACATCCAGTCAACTCCTCACTATACCTAAGAGAGTCTGAGAGAGACAGGTAATACGGTGCGTGTGTGTACGTGTGCGCATGTGTGCATAATCTTTATTTCTATTTATTTATTTTTATGTGGTGCTGAGGATCAAACCCAGGGCCTTGCATGTGCCAGGCGAGTGCTCTACCCCTGAGCCACAACCCCAGACCCCCCCCAGTGCATAATCTAAGACTGAGACAGACCCATGCCCCAGTAGAGAAAAGGGAGTATATGTTCCCTTCTCAATTCTACAAGTAAGGAACAGAAATTCACATCGGGAATCTCTTTAGCTTCCTCCTCCCCTCCCCCACCTGAAAGACATGGACCTGCAGGCAGTTCTCTGGGTTGAGCGCAGGGTTATTTTGTGTGATCAGCAGGGATCGGTATATTCAGAGGATGCAGGAGGGAGCAAATAGGATGCACTAGTAATAACACAGAGCATGGCTTCAGAAATTCAAATGTGTGTGGGTGTATTACACGGACTTAAGTTACCAAATGTAATTACTTCTTAATTCCAAGTACTCAAACAACTCTGATTTCAATGGATGTTGGCATACAAAAACTTGATATTTTCACAAACTCACAATAATTGCCTTAGTCTTGAACAATGAAGCAATGCAAAAAAGTTTCCAGTATGCAGAACTCAGGCTAAGACCAGGATGCTAATTCATGACCCAGACTCAGTGCTACCCTTACAGCGTCACATTCTTAAGGGCTTGTGATGATGCTCCTTGCTTTCCATTACTCAATGCATTTTTATGTGATGTGGCTTGGGAAAGGCGGCCTTGACAATGGGGTCTCTGTTGAATGGGGTCAGTGACAATTAATTCCCACCTTGCCTTATAAGGTTGTTGTGAAGATCAAATTTTGGAAAAAATGCTTTGCAAACCAGAAGATCCCATATAAATGCACAGTAGAGATTGCCTTCCTCTCTTCCAGAGAGGAAGGCCAACGAGGGAACTGGCATCCATCGTGGGTCTTCTACTTGCCATGCATTCAGTCAGGGTGGGGCCGTCATATCTCACTTCTCTTTGGGGGTTCACTGACATTCACTTACCTAAGGTAAGTGATACAGAGTGGTAGGGAGAGGATTTGAACTCTGGTCTCCTTGTTCAAAAACCTAGGAATTCCTTCCACTAGCTTCACACCTAAGTGATTACCTAGGTCTTAGAAAGAAAAAATGAAGGGCAGGAGTTTTACATAACTGTGAAGGCTCCCAATACCATGCCCAACCTCAGATTTTCATTTGTTCCAAGGTATCATAAAAAATGTGCTCAGCTTCCCCAGAGGGCTCACGCTGGCAAGATGAAAACACTCAGTTCTGTGCTGTGGAGTGCAGCCCAAGAAATAAAAGGCAGAGACAGTTTTAATAAGTATTTTTTTTTTTTTGGTGCTGGAGATTGAACCAATAAAAGTAAAATATTAAAATCTCAATTGACCCTATTTGCCAAAGACTGCATCTCTCAGCCCCCATCAGACTCACAGGCTGCTGTGAGTGACACAGTGACTGCTGATTGTGATACAGTGATCCAGAGAGAAGCTGGGATTTTTCAGCCTCACATGACATCACTGGCAAGATGCAAACTTGCTCAGAGGTTGGAACTTTGGAGAGCGAGTGAATGAGAATGAATTACAGTGACATAGGTCATTAGGTATAGCCCTCATGATTGAATCTTAGCTTTGTAAGTAGATGGGGAGAGATCACACAGACATACACACACATGCATGCTCCCTGTCTCTGGCCATGTAATGCTCTGTGAATCCCTGGATCTTTGCCAACATGAAGGCCATGATGTGGCTGGAAACCTTATACCTCCTGAACCATGAGCCAAAATAACAAACCTCTTTTCTTTATAAAGTTAGTCTGCCTCAAGTATTTCATTATATTGATGAAAAGCTGACTAATACAGTATTATCCTAGGTCTTTCAAGTCTAATTCATAAGCTAATTCTTATAGGTTTTGTTCCAGCCTCAAAGTACTGAGGTGCTGGGTAAGAGGATTGATCACTCTGAGGTTCTCATGCTGCGATGAAGCCCAAAGCTGCCATGTGAGAAGGCCTCAGGGAGAGAGAGAGATGTTGGCCCAGTCTCAGCTGTTCCAGCCTTCAGCCACTGGAGTCATTCCAGCCTAGGTCCCCGACACTGCTGCAGAGACAGGAGTCCCTGCCAAAGTAGCAGATTCATGAGCAAATACATGACTATTATTGCTTTAAGCCACCATTTGGAGTAGTTTATAATGTAACAATAAACAACCTGGATGTGCAGGTTTTTTCCTCCCAAAATTAAAAATATTAGTTTTCGGAATTACATAGAACATCTTAAATTGGTGTTGCCTCTTTCATTCTTAAGTCTATTTTAGACATGGCAAAATTGTTTTGTTTGTGAACAATGTATATATAGGTGTAACTTAGTGACTGGCCACAGACGACACTTATGAGCTAATGTGTGTGTATGCATGCCAACAATTGGGGTGGTTTAGTGGGGACCACTATCTACCTCCTAACCAGCAAAGAGCTGCCTGACCTGGAGAAGCTGCTCATCCCAGCAAGCTTTGCAAACCACAAGGTGTTGAGCCACAGCTGGTTTCTGTAGCCACCTGGATGATGATTGAAACCTCTTTCTTTAGGTTTCATAGTTGCTCAGTTTAGGAACACAGACCTGTCATGGCCTAAGACTTGTCTCTGAAGTGTAGAATAATTTACTCAAGACCTTTCAAATAATATATGACCTTCATATTGATATTATCAAACTTTGGGATGTATGATCAGCCTAGATGAGCTCAAAAAGCATTTTGCTGCTTCAAAAGGTACTTCTTCTGCCTTTTCAATTCCTGTTCCTCCTCCTCCGAAGCCTGCCTCCCCTTCTCTGAGGTGTGTGTGTGTGTGTGTTTGTGTGTGAAATCCTATTTATCCTTCAAACGTTCCCTCTCCCATCAAGGCAGAGTTAATCATTCCTTGATGACATTGCTTCTTCAATCTGTAAATCCTTTTCTTAAAAAACCAGCTTATCAGAGAAAAAAAAAAAAGGCAAGAAGCCAACAGTCCATAGAGCACATGGGAAAAGAACATTAAGAGAGTCCCCGCAAGTCTTGGCGACTTTCCACCGGGCTGAAATAGCCTTACGTGATCTGTGTTTCAGGGATTAGAATGTAGCAGAAGAAATAAGTCAATTAAAACACTCAGCCAGAATGCTGTCTGTAGATAAAGTGCTTTGCACTGGGGATACAACAATATAACCTGAAGTGCTGAATTCTAAGGGCTGACTGGGCTGGTGATTTGCATCTCAATCTCTTTGCATTTTATTCATTTTTATTTTCTCAGTGCAAGTTAACAAGGAGCTGCCTTAGTCTAGGAAAGACAGGCCCTCCATTTATCACTGCATCGGACCCCAAGTTTTCCAACTTCGGGGCCTTTGGTTGGACTTGGAATGGGCAATGCCTGTGGAGCCAAGTGGATCAATTAGAACACCCAAACCAGCAATTGGTACAGGCTTGTACATTTGCATAGTAACTGTTCAATCACAAAGGCTGTACAATCACTACACGGCAAATGGTGGGCGCTTTGTGGTGCATTCCCCAAAACCCACGAGGAATATATCATAATCAAAAACTCCTTATTCCACCACAAAACCAAGAAACCGCATTTCTACCACTCATTATCTGAGAATCATATGCAACATGTATAACAGTCCAAGCCAAAGGCCATATTGTCACTGCATGCTAATGGGTTCTATGTGACAAAATCCAGAAAACACTATCTACCATTTCCTCCCTGTGAGGAACCTAAGGAAGATCATACCAGAAGACCCTACTACAAAACCAAGAGCAAGAATGTTTTGGAGACGCATTCTCAAATTAAAAATGCTTAATATGTCATGTTAGAATTGTTATATCGGGGTCCACGTTACAATAGACACTCAAAATACTGGAATCCATTAATGCTCGATACTTCATCTAGATGCAGCAGAGGGTAAATCTGCTGTCCCTTCTCACTGACTGAGCCCTGGTCTTCCTCTAGAACAAAGGTCAGTCTCCGGCACTCAGCAAGCAGCAACATTAGTATATTTATTCTAGGGAGGAAGAAACACACTTGGAACTTACTTAACAGTTGGCAATAGAGGGCCTGTAAACTTCTCTTCATGGTATCATCTGGTCCTGCTTATCCTCCAGTTTATTCATGATTCTGTCTAGGAAAATAGGAGAAGAAAATGGTTACATCCAGAGAAAAATCATCAATAATCCAAAGCACTCCATTTAATGGGATCCTGGCAGTGAATTCTAATATACCTGTATTTGGAGCAGAAAAAAACCTTGAGATACACCACAGTTTAATTCACAATGGTCCACCTTGTAAAATGACCATTTCACAAGATCAATTGGTCAAATCCTGAAACCACGAATTGTCCTGATGGCATCTCATGTGGTGAGACTTAAAGAATCTGGCTTTGGAACATTCATGAATCTCTCTAGAAGTTTCTTTACTAATCTCGTTCCTGCTAAGGTGTGTGTGTGTGCGTGCGCACACACACACACACACACACAAAAACTCAAACAAACAAAAAAGAACAAGAAAGTTTCATCACACTTGAAGTTATATTATCTAAAACAACTTTTTACAAATTGTTTCCTGATGAAGAATATACTTCCGGCATAGGATATTTGCAAAAGACTGAGGAAGGATAGAATAAATAAGAAATCGGTAGAAAGGAGATGTCAAGGAAGGACAAGAAAATAAAAATTTAATAGAGAAATTATGTATGCTTTTCCAGGCCTGTTATCCCTAAGCCTGTCTCCTTTCCAGGCCCATTACTCCCAAATTCCTGGAAAATCTGTAAATCTACTTGAATATTGTTAATTAACAGTTCAACAAATAGATTAAGCAAAGAGAGATATGCTATCTTGAGGAACCTATAGCTGAGGTGACTTTCCGGTGCTAGCTATTGATCAGATAGTGATGACATTGGCTTGAGCATCCTGACATTGACCTGGCCACCAGAAATCCTCTTGAGATCGCCAGACGAGAATCATTCCTACATAGTTTCCCATACCTGCCCTTCACCGAGTTTCCTTTAAAGGAGGAGCTGGGAACCCAAAATGCATTTCTCACTCTCTAGATGGCCCTCATTCTCCCTTGAATGTTGGTCTACTTTCCTAAATAGACCTCTGTCTGTGCCTCCCACAGGTGTGTGCTGAAAATTCTTTTCCATCAGGTGAGCCAAGGAACCCTCTGGTCCTGATTTGAGTTCCCCCTTCTCCTAGGGAACTTCTCAGAGCACCCTTCTCCAGAGACACCTTTTCTCCTGGAACTGTACGGAGTAACAGAAAATATGGACAAGAATGAACAAGGGAGTACACATTATCTGTTATCCTGCCCCTAAGAGGCAATGGTTTGCTCTCATTTTGGAGTGCATTTCTGTGGTCTTCCCAATGTGTGCTTCTGTTGGTCCATGTCATTTTCTGTATCCTACTTTATAACCGCAGACATTTTTCTGTGTTGATTCTATTGCTTTACTACTTTATTTTAAATAGAAAATGATCTAGAAATGGAAACACAAGAACACAATTTAAGACTTTCAAAATCAATATATTGCCCATTTCTCTTCATCAATACCAGTATATAGGTTAAATGGATTATACTCTACCAAATGATGGAAATCTATAATTTCTTTTCATCTTGGCCAGCAAATAGGTACATACTCCATCTCATTGCTTTAATTTGCATTGGAAAATTTTAATCATATTCTTTGGTTATTCTCTACTGACATGCAGGTTTTCTTATGACATCATTAGTAGACCTCATTTATCTTAAAATTTTTTAATTCACTTATCATAAAATTCAACCTTTAAGGTATATAATTCACTGGGTTAGTAGTATATTCAACAGTTATTCAGCCACCCTCAGTCACCACCTAACACAGATCATGTTAGTTACTCTAGACAACCCCGTACTCAGTACTAGTTGCCCCAACTGCCCTTGCAACCACGAATCTAGTGTTTGTCTCTATGCATTTGCCTACTCTGGACAGTTCATGGGAACAGAATCACACAATATGTGATCTCTTTATTCTGGCTCTTTTACTTAGCATAATGGTTTTAAGGTTTATCCATGCTGGTTTTTTAAATGATTTTAATAAGAATGTTTCCACCTTGGTTAGAAAGACCTTCCTCAGTCAGAGATTACATAAATACTTGCCTGTGTTTTCTTCTGGAGTTATTTCACTTATTACATTCTCAGTAATTTCATATTATTAAACCTGTTTGTAGATTTTGTGTTTTTTTTCTCTGCTTGCTCATTCTTCCACTAGAAAAGTGTTAATATTAAACCCAGAGTTAGTCCTCTATTATATCTCTTCCTTTTAAGATTCATCTTGTTCTTTGAGTTTATTTTTTTCCTTCCAAATTAACTTCAAGATCATTTTATTGAATTTCAGGGGAAAATATCATTGGCATTTTGGTTCAAATTATCTTCTGTTTGCTTGGGAGAGATTTGAATTCTTCAAAATACAAATGTGATGAGCAGAAAAATAAATATTTAAAAACGTGTTGCTCTGGAGATGAGAAAACAAATTTTTTTTTCCCAGGGTGTGAGAAATGTTTTTATTTTTTTTTTCCTAAGGGAAGAGAACACAATAGCTCAATGACTTCTTTGGTTACACAAATTAATACCACCCTTGCCCCCATCTATGTGAGTAAGGATGAGAGAGACAGCTAAATTGTTCTTAGCTATGAAATAACAGGAAGAGTGAGTTTCCAAAGGCTTATACTAGGAAAGAGTTTAGACGTGGTATCCCCCAAAATGTCATGTGTGAGATAATGCAAGAAGGTTTGGAGTGAATTAATTCCTGATGGGATTAATTGAGTGGTAACTGAAGGCAGGTGGGGATGTGGCTGGAGGAGGCGGGGCATTGGAGGCGTGGCTTTGGGGTATATATTTGTATCTGGTGAGTATAGTTGTTCTCACTGCTTTCTGATCACCATGTGAGACGCTTCCCTCTGCCACACTCTTCTGCCATGATGTTCCACTTCACCTTGAGCCCCAAGGAACGGAACCTGCTGTCTATGGATTGAGACCTCTGAAACTGTGATCCCACAAATAAACCCCCTCTAAAGTTGTTCTGGTTGGGTCTTTTAGTCACAGGAGTGAAACAGCTGACTAAAACAGGGGACAAAGGGTATAGAAATCAGAGAGGCTGACATGATGAACAGGAGATGTCTGAGTGACAGGAAGAGGGAATTGCAAAAGATGGCAGCAGGTGAGACCCAAACACAAAGCATTAAGTGAGAAGCTTCCCACAGGGTGTGACCTGTGAACTTTAATTTCTAGTTGATTCTTGATTTATGCTATTTGTACATATATGCTATCTCAGTATGCCTTCCCTCCCACAATATTCACCCACCACTAGTATCCTCCAAACCTCAGAAAAGTCTTGCACAAAATAGCTGTGTACAGGTGATTGACAGGGGCAATGTCCCAAGGCAAGACAAGGGTGTCTCTTAGAGGCAGCAGTCCAGCAGTCACAAGCAATGGCCAGTGGGTAAAAACAGGAGTGCCTAGGACATGGTTAGCACTTGATAAATGTATACAAAAATAAACAGTGAGTGAATTAATAAATGGATAGTCAAGTAACAGGAGAACAAAAGCATAATTGTGGTTTATTTTGATCAATAATCTCCAAAAAAGTTTTGGAGATTTTTGAAAAAGTGATAGACTTTTAACAATGCATGGAATATAGTCATTTTATTCAGCTACCAAAGAAATAATGAAGCCTGTAGATCTGAGAGACACAGGATCATCTGGGTTACACTAGGCTATTTCAATTAGAAGCACCATATGGCCTACTATGTATTCAAAATTCATCTTTATTTAGGTCCTTCTGTGGAGTTTTGTAGTGATTTTCCTTTATTTAAGTTCCAAAGTCTTATTAAGTTAATTCCTAGGCATTTTATGTTTGTTTTTTTGCTACTGTGATAGAATGTGTTTTCATTACATTTTCTAATTTCCTCCATGTGAAAACAACTGAGTTCTTTTTATTCATTTTGTGACCTGACTGAACTCACTCACTGTTCTAATGATGCTTTCTTCACAGAGTCTCTTGGGTCAATTGTGTTGTTTTGGATAGATGGTGAGCCACAATTAGATTACATCAAAAGCCTCTTTTTAACCATAGAGTAGTAAACATTAATTGCATCAGTATGGTCCCTCAGGAAATAATTTAAATGCTCTAAGAAAAACAACTAATTTCTGAAATGAAATCCTAAGAAAATAAAGAGCTTTGCAGCCAAAGGATGGAGTAAACGCAAAGCAACCCACACTCACAGACCCAGACTCCAGGCCCACCTCTGCAGTCAAAATCACAGGTCTACCCCAGTGGTTCCAGACTCAAGGCCCACTTGGACCTAGGAACCAAGACCACCCACCTCCTGGACCAGGCACAAGGCCAGGATGCTCAAGAATTTCAGCAGCCAGCCTTCCCACAGAAAGGATGTCCTGCCCAGAATCTCTAGACGGGCTGGTGAAGGGCTTTCCCAAAGTAAGTCTTCAAAAACTGGAATAAGCTCTTGTTTATGCAAACATGCAGACACCAATGCACAGTCACAAGGGTCAAGAACAAGGAAACATGACACCACCAAAGGAACAAAATAAAGCACCAGTAACTGAGCCTAAAGAAATGCAGACTTATTAAACACCTGACCAAGAATTCAAATGATTATTTTAAGGAAGCTTGATGAACTTCAAGAAAATTCAGAGTAACAACTCAATAAAATCAGGAAAATAATAACTGATGAAATTGAGAACTTAATATAATGAAATTATAAAAACAATACATTTTGGCCTCCAAATATAACAAATGAAATAAAAACAAATGCAACAGCAAGTGTCAATAGCAGAAACAATCGAACAGGAGAAAAAAATCTATTGAGTATTTGAAAATACATGGTGGGGGAAGGAAAAGGAATGAAAAGAAGAAATCTTATGGAATTTGTGGGGAAGCAAAAAGAAAGCAAATACTCAAATTATAAGGGCTAAAGAAGGAGAATGAGACACAAAGGAAGAGAAAACTTAAAGAAGTAACAAAAACATTTCCAAATCTTGGGAAGATATAAGTAGTGCAGGAAGATCAAAGGTCTCCAGTTAGAGTCAATCCAAACAGAACTACATCAAGACTTGTTATAAAAAGACTA